TAGATCTCGTCGTCCTCTACAAGAAAGGTCTGATGCAATTTTCCCGTAGATCCAACGGTTTGGAAATTATTGGCAAAAAACGAAAATTTGGAAGAAATTGAAGGGATACCCCTTGGAAAAATCTCGAAAAAATCGAAAATTTTTTGTTGTTGTTTATTATTAGCAATGTTCTTCCGACGTCTGATTTCTTTTTAAAAAATGCGTTTCTAAAGTGCATAAACTTTTGGGATTGACTGTATAGCCAATACATCCTTAAAGTTACTTTGAAAGTTATTTGTTTTATAATATATAATAAACTTTATGAACAAGTGTACGCGCAACGACAACGCATGCTAATGTCGATACGGTACACGTGGATACTCAGATTGACAAGTATTACCTCCACTTAGTATTTGATATACGAGAAATCTTAAAATCAGCTTCCTATCGCGTGTGATCATCCATTATCGTTCGAACCATTTCTCATTCGTGTCACGTTATTATGTTAAAATAGTAAACTACAACTATCCGCTGTGACAATCGCAATCACAGACACAATGACATTTACGTATCACGCTTTCGCTCTGACATTAATAATAAGGTTAGATAGATAGACATAACGGATCACGATGATACGTGTTACGATTACGTTACATTGACAACTTACCACACTTATCATTATTGCACTACGGATTCTTATAAAAAATGAAACACTTGCGGTGTTGATTTAAAAAACGTATGTTACATAAACATTCTGATATTATGCATAGTTTTATATATTTCATGCAACATTTACGTTACTTATTAATCTCGTTTCTTAATCGTTTACTTATTAATCAAGTCCATAGTGTAATCATTATTAAACACTAAAATAAAGTTATTCATATTATTTATATTCACAAAACGTATCACAGCTAAGGAATAAAAAATAGGTAATGTGTCTAAGACGAAATGAAATAAAATCAAAGTCCATAATACTTTGCTTAATACAAAACTCTTTCAACATATTTATATGGCCTACAAAGTATTCAAAGTAGGAAGTTGCATTAACGAAGAGAAAAAAAATCGTATTCTATTTATTTCTCAGAAGCAAAACAAATAGGGCGATGGTCACGTTTGAAAAACTCTGATTTGTGTAAGGACGCGTCACTTTTTCGCGTGTCTCATTATTCATATCTATCATGCTGACTGAGGCTAACTATACTTATATTTATGCATAAGTATATAACTATTTTTTTTACATACTGTTTGTTGGTTTATCAAGGGCAGAAGTCTTTATAATACATATATTATTAATAGAATAAAACATTTCAATTGTCATCAACTATTACAGATTCATGATGAATTTCTCTCATGTGAAAAGAATTAGTCAATAAGATGTTGAATGAACAATTTCCTAATTCAACGGCAATCCCTAAAAGATAGATATGATGTAAAATAATCATCCTTGTTTCCGCACGATTCGCCAAATTCCGAATTCTTACAGACAGTGACTTAGTCACTCACAGAATCCGCAAATAACATCACCGAACGTTCACGTCAATTATATAACCGATAAAGCGTAGTCAAATCATTTGAACATGATAGTAATAGTACGCGTTATCAAAGAGAAATTAATTATCCATAAATGTGTACTATAAATAATTGTACTATAAATAACTGAATGAACAGATGTTAAGGCGACTTCAACGAGATTCAAGAATTTACCATAATACGTTAAATTACGAAATTATTTTTAAACACAATTGTGTGTAAAAACGTACCCAATTAATTCATAAGATTACAGATAACGAGTTTAAAAATACATCGTGCGAAAGGAACGTTCAAGGAATAATCAAAAGTCTAAATACTTTCCGATTTATAATCGTCATAAAAAGAACGAATGAAGTGCCACGTAATTTTGGAGCCATTGAAAGAACTCGTACATGGCCAACAATTTGCATCGTCATTAAACCGTAATAATTTCTTGGAAAGTAAATGTCGAACAACCGGTAATCCTTAGTAGTAATCGGTTACCTGACATATTCATGGCAATTTACTTTTAATCAATTAACATTCGACCAATGAAACTACAGATTTCATTCGTAAACTGGTATTTCTTCTCGGTCCTACTTCAACGAATAATTGTGGAATTTAAGTCAAGGTGAACTGGTAAACTGGTTACTGTGAATCATATACAGTATCGTAGGGCATGACTGACGCCCATCAGTAACGTTAGCATCTTGACAATCACAAATCTCTTTCCAAGATCATCTTGTAACACTGACCCAACATCTTTGTCCTAGATAAACTCGTGTGTGCTTTCCTCACTTCGTTCAAGAATCAGTCTACACCAGTAGACTGTAGATTTGATGCACTTATAGAAAAATTGACATTCGAAAAAATCAACAAAATGTTTGTAAAAAATATGTAGAACATTAAAAGTATCATCTAAATTTCATTTCTTAAATTGATGTCAGAAATGTTTTACTTCACATAAAAATACCCAGTCTAAAAATCCAAGATAAAAAAAGAAAGGAGTGAAGTTTATTGGTAACTCTGCTTGAATCTTGTCCTTGAATATTATAATTATTTACCAGGCTCCGACAGTTTTTTTTGTCGAGGAACAAATCTCATGTAAATGAGCGTCACACATGAATATCATGCAGACCGAAAATTTATGCGATCTGTTAGCTGCGTTGACCAGTAACGGGTTAACAAACTTGTATCACCTTGAACTTGTAAGACATCGGTCATCCATCACCGGAGTTATTATACGAGATAGCAATTCTTCGAGCTTTTTGAATTTGAAATGAACTTCTTTTCGAATTAGCATAGCGTTAAGCACGTGTGATGTTCCTCATTTCTCAACATTTAAACTTGGTGAACAAACCTCGTGTATCAAATTTTTATATACCATTACTATCATCAAATAGAAAAAAATTCTGTTCAAAATATTCATGTGTAAAAAATGCAAACGCGACTTATAACACACGTTGTAAATCTTCCGTGGACCTAACCACATAAAATATTCCGATAAGTTTTTTTATACAAGTTTCTTTTAGAGTATCTTCTAACATATCAATGCGACATAAAATCATTTGCCAGAGGCTAATGAACCGTTAGATTTGATACGAAAAGTAAAAATGCTTGTCCCTTTAAATCCAATGATATGCTATTAGCCATTTTTTTATGCATCGCTACTTTATATAGTCTGTCAGGATATCACGTATTTCGTCGAAGTAGAGATAATAAATTGAGGTGACTTTATCGTTCCTGTGTCCTCAAGTGCATTGATGCATTGCGTTTTCTTCAGTAATGAAAGTTAAAGACAATTTTTGCAGCCTTCCTGCGTGGCTTGAGTAACAATTATTATGAAAATGTAATAAAATCTCGAAGTAATCAGACATGTTACTTTACTCTGAAAACTTCTTAATTATCAAATGTAGACGAATAGCTTTCTAAAGCGTATATCTCTCAAGTAAATAAAATCTCAAATCTGCAAAAGGAATCATAATTCTATTATAATAAAATTGTAAAAGTGATTGATTGTAAAAGTACAATAATTATGCAAGCTTGTATTTTTATTAAAAATAATTCTTTTTTCTTTCAGAATGCATCATACTATTCTTGTTGGGTATCGCTTGCATTGTTTTCTCTTATGTCACATATATATTTAATCCGGCGAAATTAATATTAGATTACGTAAGTGAATATAAAAAACTTTACCTTTATCATTAAACATTAAAAATGTGTATTTATGAAGTGAGTCCATTTTTAAGATATAAATAGATATTACTCCTTTTAATTAAAAATTGAATTCAGCTAATTCGATAGTTACACACTAGCACTTTTGAAGATATCATGTTAATTGGAAGAATCTACTTTTCAGACACTAGAAATGACGCCGCATTCACTAGCTTTTCAATTGTGGAAAAACCCACCGATTGATATTTATTTTAAAGTATACATATTTAATATCACGAACTCAGAGCAATTTCTCAGAGGCGAGGAAAAGCTGAAAGTCCAGGAAATTGGCCCTTACGTTTATAAGTAAGCGATATCTACCTCATAATCATAAAAACAATAAAAAATACCTGACGTACTGGAACGTACATGAATTAAGATATTAACTGAGTATCCCTCTTTTCAGGGAAATATTACAAAATGAAAACATCACTTGGCATGAAGAAAATAAGACGATTTCGTACATGCCAAGAAGAACGGTAGTTTACGTCCCGGAAATGTCAAATGGAAATCCGGACACGGACGTAGTTCAGGTTCCAAATATACCCATGTTGGTGAGTGAACGTCAATCAATAATACTACCAATCATTACGTGTTCGAGATGTTTCAAATTGGTTCCTTGATATCTTCTCTAATTCTAATATACATGATGCCCCACCTTAAAATGGGACACTTTTTATACGTCTGATTAATTCGATCATTTTATTTTTATACCGAATCTCAACAGGGGATTTCCTCGACACTGCACGATGCTGGATTCTTCGTAAATTATCCCTGGTCCAGCTTAGTGAGCATGTTGGACAGTAAACCGATATTAAATATAACCGTTTACGATTATTTCTGGGGCTACGAAGATCGTTTAGTTCGCCTGGCTAGCGGAGTCGTACCTAATTTCATCAATTTCAAGAAATTTGGTTTATTGGATAGGGTGAGTAATTACCTCGGCTTCATACATTAAAACAGCATTAACACGAGAGGAGCAAATAAGATGACTATGTGCGAAAACAAACAATTCCAAGCGCATTACAACGCTAAAAAAGGGGAAAAGGTACAAAGTAATTCTCCTAAAACGTGTTTACAATATACATAATACATCAATTTTAAAAATATTCATAAGACTAAGAAAAGAATAATGAATGTTTACAATGATGGTAAGAATAAACTTGGTCTATTCATAAAATCGTGTAACGAAAATTGAGGAGCTATTGACTTCTTAATTTTTAGTGTTAATCTGTCTTTGAGTCTTAAACCTAGACGAATTTCGATTGCATTTTAGAGTCGTACCTAAGTAATAACTAGTATTAATATTATTTTGTATAATATTTTATCTGTGGAAACGTGAATACTTTCGAACTATTTCAAATCTATTTATCTGCACCAGCTCAGATATTGAAATACGAAACGTGATTGATTCAAGTTGCGAGTGTTAATGACATCGAACAAATAGCGTTCCGCAATCGGAGTTCTTGAGAATGTCGTACGGATTCGTGGAAAAAAAATGCGAAAAGCGTGGTAATTAGTCACAAACCCTAGGAACGTTGGATCATTAACTTGTCGCGAAATGCGTGATTACGAAAAGTTCGATTTCGTTTAGAAAAATTGAATAAAAAATATACCGGTTGTTGACACAACCGACTGACCTTGTCTAGACGTAAATCGACCACATCGTTTTCCTATAGCTAAATTTCACAACACATGCAACCGAACAAGCATCTCGTTCCTTTATCCAATGAGCGCAAACATATCTGCGAACGTACGAGCGAAGTGTGCGATATCACGCATACGCACCGAACCAGTGTCAATTTTCGCAATTATATTTCTAACCGTTGATCCTTTCACTATTTGCTTATACTTCTGGGTTCACGGGGTTAGTGTCAACAACTTTTAAATGTGCAAAAAGGAAATTATGACATGCACGACTCCAGAGCAGGTTGTTGCACTCGCGACTCAGTAGTTTGATCGAAAGTTGTCTTTAGTAGAGTTTAAATAATCTTTATATATAAATATTTCATTTCTTCGAGCGTGAACATTTTTAAACTATAAGTAAAACTTTTCATATTCATATAGGATATCTTTTTAAATTCAGAACAATTTTATATATTTCAATTTAAATTTTACTTATATTATATTAGAACATTTTGTTAACGATAATTAGATGTACGACGAAGGAGAGAATCTCGTGCACATGTACATCGGGAAAAATGAGAATATGACCGAAGAGGAAGGGCGATATTTGAGTATTCAATTGTATAATGGTAGTCCAGGAATGTCCCAATGGGGATATCGCGAAGAGGACGGAAACGAAACATATCCAGAGTGAGTGTAAAGAAAATTAAGATTAACACCATATGAAAATAGTCGATTACATAGCGAACATGCGACGTTACAGAAACACCATATGTAACCGCATTAGAGGAGCGACCGAAGGAGAATTATTCCCATCGTACATAGACAAACATGCCTCGTTTCGAGTATACAGAAAAGCTTTCTGCAGAGCGATACCGATTGTCTTTAGAAGTGAGGTGCTAACGGAGAGCGGTCTAAACGGATTTCTTTATAGCATGGCGGACGATTTCTTAGATACTCCTGACGTGAACCCGGATAACGCGTGTTACTGCAAGAAGAAGGGAAAGTGCCTAAAGAAAGGACTTTCCGATATGACACCGTGTTATTACAGTAAGTACTCCTCAGTTGAATTAAGAGTAATTTCTCGGAATGAGAGTGATGCAAGAAACGTTTTCGCGTAATGTACGTGTAATATGATATTTTATAAAAAATATCGATGGTCAAAACTTGTATTACGAAACCACCAAATACAGATTATTCGCACGCCTCTTTTCCGAAAAGTTAATCTTATTATCCGTCTAGAGAATGTATTATAGGCATAAGAAAATGAGTTGAGATTGTTTCCCAGTTGATTCGGATAATAAATAATAAAATCGTATTCGGGATGAAAAGAAAAAATCGGATTGACTCACCGTTCGCCAGGCAAATGTACGTCCACTATAGCAAACGATAGAGCGGAGCTTCCACTGTTGAACGCGATATGTACCGGCAACCGAACTATAACATAAAATGTCAAAGTTTGAACTTTACGAATAATATAATGCAGACGGGTATCTATAGCATTAATCTGGCATTAACTGTTTAGCTAAAAGGGTTAATTTTATTACGCGTACGTAATGAAAAAATACGCAATATGTGATTACGTATAGTTATAAGGTCCTATTAATTACAGGCATTCCAGCTGCAATGTCGTTACCGCATTTTCTTGACGCTGACCCCAGCTTACTCGAGGACGTCGAAGGTCTGAATCCCGATCCCGAAAAGCATAATACTACAATTATTTTGGAACCGGTAAATATTAAAACTAAGCTCAAGCGATAAATTAATCGGTCAAAAATGAAGACGAGAGTAGTTATTATAAGTCACAGTTATGATATACGATAGCATTTTTCTATTTTATTTAATCGTCTGGAATTTTATGTAAATATCATGAAGACGCCAAGGTCTCGAGAGTTTTTATCGGTCATTATATTCCCCCAACGAGTGATTTATACTATTACGATTCATACAATAAAAATGTAATGATCAGGGGTGGAAGAATGATATCGAAAGTCCGTTGATAATTATTAATAGTAATCGAATAATGTGCTCGTAAAAATAACACTAATGTAATAGAATTGAATGTCAACAACAAGATCGACGACCTCATCGAGTCGTCCTTCGCTAATTAAAAAGAATGACGTTTAATGACTAGCAAAAGAATGTTTTACTCTTTTCGTTCACAGACAATCGGCGTCCCGATACATGTTCACTCAAGAATACAGATCAATCTCGTTATGGAACATACGACTTATAATTCTAGAATCAAACCTTTCAACGGTATAACAGTGCCATTATTCTGGAGCGATTTCGTAAGTCTTTTTAATTTTCCATTATTACATAAATCGTTGCGTGTTTTATATGTCTCGGTAGTTAATATTTATCCCGAAATTGATTCACAGGTAATACCCGAATTGTCAAGTGAATTGGATTTCTTATTAAAAGTAGTACTTATAGTACTTCCAATCACGCAAACGATTATAATATCGTTGTTGGCCTTCATAGGAGTCACGATGTTCGTATTGTCAATATTCTCCATGCTTTGGACCATCAACCAACAACAGGAACCATTGTCGTCAGAGAGAAGGGACAGTTGCGATTTACGAATACCGTTGAACTACGGACAATACTCGGCGATACATATTTTACCGGCGATTAAGAAAATCACGTCGAAAACAGATTTATTCAGTTAATCAAATTCATATTACGAATGACGTCTCACGAAGCTCAACGGAGAAAATGATAAAAAGTTGAACACTTTTTTTTATGTTATTCCTTAGGTTTTAATGTAAGATAGTATTCACTTGATTTTTCTCACGGAGGAGAAAAGGTACGGACGCACTCGGCTACTTCGACTGATTCGGAATACAGGGGCGGTATTCTACGTTACGATACACATTCAGGGTTTCGTGCTAAAAATATTCCGATATGGATCGATATTATTCTACTAGCATGTTGTCGTTGTATGCTTTCTCGGGTCTAATTAATTTTTACTCGATACACGTGTGATATTTTTTTATGGGGACGTATCTCCAGTATAGTATAACGAACAGAAAAACATAGGCTAGGAACGATGTAATTTTATCTTTCACAGAGTTTCCGCATTCGGAAATATTTTTGATAATTTTAAACGATATTCTTAATAATCATAGTTATAGTAATAAGACGTATACATAAACGCGCTGGTAATTAAAGAAGACCAAATGTTTTCTTAAAAACAAATGACGACGTAGAGATTACCACACGTCTTGGCTTTTCTATTATCTTTTAGGAAAGAATCACACTTAATGGAACTTGAAGAAGGATTTAATATTTATTGTTAGAGGTCTCGAAGCATAAGTTAAACATGCGAAAACAATGAATCACTTACGTTAGTTTGATACATTCTTGCTCGTCGCTCTACTTGGTTTCGTTTTACTCCATCGGAAGTTTCCACACTACTACTTGAGTAGAAAAGACATGTCTCGATCGGTACAACGTTTTTGTTCTCAATGAAAATAGCACAGTGCATTAACAGCAATTTTTAATCAATGCAAAAAGCGAATTATGGATATTTTACCAAAACTAAATTCATGGAAATTACTGCAAATTACTTTACGATATAAGACGCAAGGATGCCTTGTTTGTTTCTGTTTAACGTAGTATTTTTCAAACATGACGTTCTGTTTTTTCAACTCTCTTTTAGTTCAAATTGCCTGCCTAACAACATTTGTAACAAATTTGAAATTAAAGTATTTGTATTTATTCTTCGGGAAAACTGTTTATTTGACCACATCACCACGTTCAAGATATTTAATTTTCATTTATTATATCGTTCGTTCATTTCTTAAACAGCTAGTATATATACGTAATAGCCAGTCTCTTTTCAACAGTAGAAAGATAATTTAAATCAGATTAGGTCTTTTAAGCAAATTCATTTATATTACTTAACATAACCAATGTGTAGTATTTAAGTGCTCATATCGCGTTTTAGGATTTCTTTACATACTGCCTTTATATACATATATATTTCACTTAGTATCGCTACATATGTATATGAATAAGTACGAAATTTAACAAACTATTATGACTACTATGACTAAAACTATTATGATCACTTTGTTAAATAATTACGTTCTTTGTTACGATACACCTTCATATTGACTGTACACATTGTTTCTCATACTATACAATGTAATAACATGTACTGCAGTAGGGCGTAATTGTAAAAACTTGACTTTGAAATTTCTTAATAAATAGTCTAAATCGAATTTCGGATTAAGAAACTCCTTTATAAAATATTTATTACACAACGTAGCCAACTACAAGGTGGGATATTTTAGTTCTTAATTATTCAGTGATTTTATTTATATTTTTATTATGTAATCGAATATGTTTGTTACATATAAAAATATTAATTTTTAACAATTGTATAAGATTGCGTACAATTATGAATTATCCATCAATATTGCAATTCACGCAATAAAGATCAATTTGTAAAAATTCCTTAGGAATCGTCAGTATTGCATAAAAATATTAATATAACAAGATAGTCGTAAAAAATATATAACAATTGTATAACAGGACATTACATAAAAGCATATTTTTTAATTGTTCTCTATTTACATCCTAAGGTACGAACTCTAGTGCAATGTAGAAAATGAAATCTCGTTTAACAAACTTATAAAATTAAAGATCATTCAATTTCTTAAAAACATGATCCATTTCTGGCCTATTCTGTACCATACGATTAGCGCACCACTTTCCCAAAACTATTAAATTATTATAAACCTGTTTGTCTTTCTCACCTGCTTTTTTATCTATTAACAAGAGGAGATCTTTATTCTCCCAGCTATCAATGAAATCCTTCAGGAACCTATTTTCTAATCTGGACTCGTCGTATGCTGGTAAACCTGTAGCTAATTCGAACAAAACTATGCCATAACTATACGTATCTACTTTTGTGGATAATTTCCGTCCATGTAAAAATTCTTCTGGGAGGTATGGCCTGGTTCCATGAATTTTGCTTACCTGGATCAAGTATAATCGACAATTAAATTATATATACACACAAAGTTATTTCTTATATAATAATATTATAACTTTAAAAACATATTTGCCTTCATGGAATCGCTCTCAGGACCTTCTCTGGCTAAACCAAAATCACCTATTCTGGGTTCAAAATTCTTATCAAGTAAAATATTAGCACTCTTTATATCACCGTGTATCAGCGGCTTTTCTCCGATTGTATGTAGGTACTGTAAACCACGCGCAGTTCCTTTAGCTATTTCGTGACGTTGAATCCAAGACAACGGTTGAGTCTTTTGTTTCATCAATAATCTGTCTTCCAACGAGCCATTCTTCATAAGTTGATACACCAGACAAGGTATTTTCCCGTCTAAGCAATACGCGTACAGCGGTAAAATATTTTCGTGACGACAAGAATTTAAGATCTGAATTTCTCTGAGAGACTGTTGCAGTTGAATGACATGACTCTCGTCAGAATCAATCCCTCGTTTCTCTATTCTTTTAATAGCCACGTCTGTATTTTTCCAAGTACCTATGAAATGATAAAGATACTAAAAAATGTGTTCAGATCGAAGTAATACCAAGTCGCAAGTAATTTTTTACCTTTAAATACAGTTCCAAAGCCACCTCTCCCCAATATATTATACTTATTCCAATTATTGGTGGCTATTGTTAATTCATCATAAGTAGCGCGCGGTATAGTCGCATCTGTTTTAAAAACTGCTGCAGTATTATCTTTCTTTTCATTAGTTTGAGCATGCTGCAAAGACGGTGAAGGATTGGCTGCTGCCAGAGATGCAACAAGCAAGTTGTTGGAATTACTAGGAGTAATTCCAATGTGCATGGCTTGCATCGGTTGATTTAAGATTTTATGAGATTCTTCTTTACTATTTGCTCCTACAATAATTTTTGGCACGTTTGGTTGTGGTGGAATAATTTGATTAAAATTCTGGGTTCCTATCTTCAAATCTTTTGTGTTTTTAGTTATCTTCTTTCCAAGTATTCTATGAAGATTGCCTTCACCATTATAAAGCAATTTATGAAACTTCTCCTCGACAAATGGTTTCAACGGCACCATAGCCTGATAATGCTGCATTCTGGATAGCAAGATGAATAACTCCAATATAGTATGATTGTGATGACCCCATAACGTTAATAATTCATCTGTTGGATTCTTTTCTTTTCGTAAACTTTGTATTGTTAACACATCATATTCCATCCATAGTCCTAAATAAATGAATGAATTAATTAATGTTAGCTTTGCTGTAGAAGCCAAAACTATCCATGAACTTTTACAACTTACCAGCAAGTTCTTCCCACTTGTCATTCTGATTAAGTATTTTACAAAGTTCCGATCGTTCAAAGAACGGCACTTGGTAAATGTATTTAATTTTATCTGTACACGTGGATGCAGTCATGATATAAATATCAGTGTATCATTATGAACTTTATAAATTCTACTTTTCAAGAGGAAAAGTTCACCATCCATTCGTATGATTCATATGATTTCGTAGAGCCCCATCTATTCAAGGTCGTAAGTTGATATAATTATTAATTATCAATGAGATAAAATAAAATAATTATTCGACATTATAAAGTCACATCAGCAATAAACTAATTCGTTTTAGTATGTAATTAATTAATCGTTGCATTAAAAAAAGTTCCCATTATCGCTTGTCGAATTCGAAGTATTTGTAGAGTTTCTCTCTGGTATTTGTATGCCCTCTGATGAGAATACTTCGCGTTTTCTCGTCGGTGGCGTTTTATAATACCGCCTTCGCCATTTTGCATCGGGTTGCGGACAAAACGTTGTGTGTACATGTTGTTGAAAGCCGACTCTTCATGATTTAGAAAACAATACGTCTTAGTTTTGATGTATTAAGACATAACGAAGAATGGCAGAGTATTTGGCATCGATTTTCGGGACAGAAAAAGACAAGTAAGCTTTATTTCTAAATCACAACACTTTTTCGCATTGCTCGAATTCAAGTAAAACATCACTCACGTATCTTCATGTTTCCAGAGTAAATTGTTCATTTTATTTTAAAATCGGAGCCTGTCGACACGGAGATCGGTGTTCACGAATTCATAACAAACCAACTTTTAGCCAGGTAAGAATGTAACTAAACATAATGATCGTTTAAGGTCCTCTAACATTACCTCGAAGTTATGATATTATTTCATATATATAGATTTCTTTGTAATAATTCTTAAAGATTTACATAAATATAGACATAGAATAATATTATATGTATAACATATGTTTCACTTCATCTAATTGATTATTTCAGACCTGCTTGTTGCAAAATCTTTACGTGAACCCACAGAATTCAGCAAAGAGCGCAGATGGTTCACATTGTAAATATATAACAAATAATTCAATCGATCATTGGTAAATCATAGAATTAACAATAAACGTTATTTTCACAGTGGTTGCAAATGTGTCTGATGAAGAGATGCAAGAACATTACGACAACTTCTTTGAAGATGTCTTCGTCGAATGTGAAGATAAATATGGTGAAATAGAAGAAATGAACGTTTGTGACAATCTTGGTGATCACTTAGTTGGAAATGTTTACATCAAATTTCGTAGAGAAGAAGATGCAGAAAGAGCAGTGAATGATTTAAATAATAGATGGTTCGGTGGAAGGCCAGTTTACGCTGAACTTTCTCCAGTTACTGATTTCAGAGAAGCTTGTTGTCGTCAGTATGAAATGGGGTATGTATAGCACACTGATATACTTTCTTTAAGGGGTAAAGTCGCCCAGTTGTATGTTGTTCAGATTTTAGTTTTTACGATAAAATTGTAATATTCTTTCAGAGAATGCACACGTTCAGGATTTTGCAATTTTATGCACTTGAAGCCAATTTCCCGCGAATTACGACGCTATTTGTACAGTCGTAAGAAGGGTGGTAAAGGCCGGTCAAGATCACGTTCACGTTCCCGTGGTCGTGATCGCAAGCGAAGATCACGATCGCGCGACAGGAGATCTAGATCTAAGGATCGCCGAAAAGGAAGAGAGGATAAAGGTAGAGATGGACGATCGGGAAGGTATTAATTATATTGTTTCTCAATTGTAATATTTCTCCATAATAAAGCGGTTCAAATTGATTCTATCATTTTCTCGGTTGTTCTTAGAGAATATGTTTGTTTCCAAATTTTCATTCATGAACCCTTTATCAAATGTATTTTCTATTCTTAAATGTATTCAATTCTTTTAACAAGTGTGAAACATATGTACTGTAAAAAAATGGAATTCGACATCTATATGTACATACACGTAGTTCATTCACGTAGATTTCGGCCCAACATACACTGCATTCTGTCCAACGTACATACATATAAACAAATTCTGGCAGGCCTCTTGGACTCATGAATTTATCAGAATTTGTTAATCCGTGTGTTCGAATCGAGTGAGCTACGTGTACGTAAAAACTTTTAAAATATATTTATAAGAAAGTAAACTCGTTTAGTACGCAATTATTATGGAATTAAATGTACGTTATTTCTTTTCTCGTATAAGTAAAAGTATATATAAACCGATATCAATAATTTCCGTGTAATTTAAATTTATGTAATAGATGTACTACACCTAGCGTACAATGAATTCTCATTTCTAA